ATATTATATTATATTATAAAATCTAAAGTTTTGCTCCACATCTTATCCCTAAGTTTTTATAATAGCATTGTATGATATTCATGCTTCACTAATTTTGGTATCTCTCCCTCTTTTAAAATCTTCAAAGTTAAAGAATATAATAAAAAATCAACCTAAAATTTATAATAAAAAAACAAATATAAACTAGGCATCTCAAGTATATATTAAAACCAAATGAAATTATACTTAAAAAGTGATATAGATATACCTAAACTAAATGTTAATTTATTGACTTGATTTAGATGAATAACATGAGTGAGAGCCTCTATGAACAAATTTTAATTGTCATCTATTTGTTACATAAAATTATATTATTAAATTTTATTCAAAAATTTAATTAGGACAATTAAATCCGAGAGAGGGTAATAGGTTTTTTCTTTTCTTTTCTTTTTTGAGAAACATTACCATATAGTTTTAATTTGTTAGAAAATGTATCTCGGACGTATTATGCATATTGCAAATCCAATCCTCTATTCGCTAACCTTGGTTACTCGATAACTGAGGTGAAGTCTAAATTCATTTCTTCCCAGTTGTATGATAATTATTGTAAGCATGCCCTCACCCAATCCACTGTTCTCGAGATCATTGTTGTACTGGACATGTAAGAATCCGATTATTTCGTTAAACAAGCCACGTCCTTATTAAGACCTATAAAATACTTCGCATGAGTAACCTTGAAAAGGTAATTGAAACTGATCTAAAGTTTTTTTGCAATCTTTTCTTAAGGTAGATCAGATTATTACTGATTTAAGTATCGGAGTGTTTACCTCGATGACTCACCTCGAGGATTTGCAGGTCAATATGAAGAAAAGATCTGGACTAAAGGAGACTCAATGGCATTTACAGTTTTCTATGTATTAAAACTTAATTTGGTTTTTACATAAAATGGAAAATAAAAAGGCTCATCTTTATCTCTCTTTTTTTTTTATTATTTAATATGTATGTAATGGAAATTAATAATGAAAGAAAAGAAAAAGATAAGGTAAAATAATTGTATATAATAATTATATAATAAATAATAAAAAAACATATTATTAGATTATAAATTATTATATATAAATGCATACCCTATTTAATGTATAAGGTAGCATTTTATATATATAGATAAATTTAGAATATCATGTGATATTATGATTATGAATTTTTAATTTATTTATATTATTATCCATAAAAGTACTACTTATTTTTTAAAAATATAAAAAAATTAAGAATTCAACTTTAAATTTATTTAAAAACACAAATAACTCTGATATTGATAAAAATGATGTTAAAAACAAAATACCTTTGATTATTAAACTAAAAAAATATTTTTTATTTTATTATTAAAATTAGTGCATATTAATATCGATTCTTAAAAAAATAAAATACAACTTACATTTAGAAACTAAAATCTTAATTTAAAATTCATAAATTTATTCTATTAAACGTTGGTACTTAAATTTGAAAATTGATTATATTTTAATATAATTAGTTTTCAAATTTAAATATCAATATTTAATGAAATAGATATTTAAATTTTAAATTAAGTTTTAATTAAATAATATGACGTAATTTAAGGTTGAAATTCTAATTTATTTTGAAAGTTGGAATTGATATGTATTTTTTTATTTAATTATATTATATGAAAAAAGTGCATATTAGTTTTGATTCAAAAATAAATTAAAATTTCAACCATAAATCATTTTATATAATTAAAATTTAATTCAAAATTTAAAAATTATTTTTAAATATTAATATTTAGATTTAAAAATAAATTATATTAAAATATATAATTGATTTTTAAATTTATATATCAATTTAATAAAATAAAATTTTAATTTTTAAA